TCTTTAGTACTTTACACTCTTGGAAATGAGGAATGTGCATATGGATTTATTGTGAGGCAACACGCGATTATCTAATGTCAGTCATGGGGGTTGGGTAGCCTATGAAATCAATGCAAATGAAATCCTAAGGCATGTCAAGCATCAATATAGGCATTGAGGTCTGGTGACAAAGGCCTTATGGTCCCTGAAACTTTCACGGCCTGGACATTTTTGACTACAGCCAGGGGGCTATTTACATCTCAGTATAGAAAGGAATCGATAGAAAGCTAAAAATTACCTAACTCAAGATGGCTGAAGCAACCCACTGTAGGGATTATCTGAAATGAGCTGCTTTGGTACAGAGTCAAATCTAGAATAATACAAGAGAGTATTTTGGCTGGACTGTCAACTGGGATCTCTATAGTAAGGCTAAATCTCTACAGTAAAGTCAGCATAAGAGCAGCAGGAGTCATACACGTTAGGATTATAATCAAGCTCAACCAACATCAGAAAGAAGGGTGATTAGCTGTGTGTGTGTGTGTGTGTGTGTGTGTGTGTGTGTGTGTGTGTGTGTGTGTGTGTGTAGTGGGTGTCTGCAGAAAATCAACTAGCAAAAGATATGGGGCAAATAACAATGCTTCAGAAAACTCCATCTCTGCGTGGCCCATCACCTATGCTTCTCAATACAGACAAGTCACTCTATAGAGACTGTGAAAGACTATGCCCTGGGTGGACGGAGCATACGCTATTTCTGGCCCTTCATCCAACTAAGACAGCCTGAATTTATTTTCCAGCCATCTATAAAGAGATGATTTGGTATGAAGTTAGTAATGGAAATGTGTACATGGCATCTTGAATCTGTGTGTGGACATGTGGGTGTAATTTTAACCTCTGCATTAATGTGCAGCCAGGCTTAAAGGCCTGTTTCTTTCTCCTTCACTTTGTAACCTCAACATCTAGCACTACGCCTACTACATAGCAAAGGCCCCATAGATATCTCCTAAATAAACAAACACAGAGATGTTCAAGAGGATAAAATGTGCAGCCTTTAAGAGGAACCTTCTGACAACTTACAGCTAGGTAATTGTTCTGATCGAGCCTCTGAATCAGAACAACAAACTGATGCTTAATGCTTTCTTAGCAGCTTGTACAAAGTGCCAACAATGCTCAACATACATTAAATGGCCAAACGAGACAAGCACTTCTCCTTGCTGTCTGAGTGTATGAGGTTTTACTACACTCCTGTTTCTCTGTAAGGACACAGTTTTGTAACCTCTCCCTTGAATCATATGCTATTAATCAGGACGGCATACAGTGGGTCTGATACCAAAGGCCCACTATGGACAACTGGATCTTTGTTTTCTCATCCAAGTTGAGTTTGAATCACATCAGCCCCGAGTTACTATATTCTTCATGATTCTTTAGGTTCGTGATTTACATTTTTATTATGTTACTCTTAGGGCTTAGGTTAAGAGACCCAAAAAGGCACACTGAAAACCACGGCCATGGCTCTTTTGATTACCTCATAGTCCCAGGGTGCAGGGTGGCTAGCCTATGACACATTTATTATTATAAATGTTAATGTCTCACTCTCTTTCACACAAAAGCAAGCCAGGCAGCACTTTCGGATTCATAATCCTTTCACTGCAATGGAAATCTGGTGTTTGTTTCAGGAAATCAGGGAAAAGAAAGTAGTGGGAAGGTTCTATTTACTTCTGATAACCCACCATTTGTTGATTAGATGCAAAGTAAAGTAAAGGCTCAATCTGTAGCTGCAAGGCATGAAATATGCTTTTAAAGCAGCCAGAAAGGATGAATGTTCAAATACAACTTTTTTTTTTGGTACCAGGGATTGAACTCAGGACCTTGCACTTGCGAGGCAGGTGGCAGCACCATCGAGCTAAATCCCCAGCCCATAACTTTGTTTATTAAACATTTCAGTATAAGCTGGATACCAGGCTAGGTGATTACCTGAGAGACAAAAAACACATCATGCCTGTCCTGCTCAAGACACTTGCTCTTTTCAAGAAGGCTGAAATATGTATGGATACTTCTGATACTCCGAGGGAAGCGTTCAAGAGTATAAATACAGATTAGCAAACACACAGAGTAGAAACAGTAAATATGCTCACAGAGACTAAGGGAAAGTTCTATAGAGGCAGTTAAGAGTTGAGCTCTCACCTTGAAGGACGCATAGATTTTCATCAGGAAAAATTTCAGACATATTTTAGGTCGAGGAAACTGCATGAGTTAAAGCATGGAAGTAAGAAAATACAAGGTTGTTCAGTAATGCTCACAAGGTCCAATGTGGCTGGACTAGAGGGTACTGGGTGTGGGAATGAAAGATGAGGTCAGAGAACATGAATAAAGCCAGAGCACATAAGGCCATGAGTATGCCAAGAAGTTTGGAATTTATCTTATAGAAATGGGAAACCATGAAGTTTTTTAAAAAACACGTAATTGCAAGAAAAGAGGTACGCTTTAGAAGATACTTGGCTGTCTGGGACATGGGCAAGAAGCTCTAGACACAGAGGTAAAGAAGCTTTCAAATTTTAAGGAAGAGATAACAAAAGAAAACAACTATATACTACATGCTACATCTAAAAAGAGATAATTTCTTCCATTCCTGATCCTTGTAGTTTAATGATGGGACCATGTAATGTCTACTTGAAAATATTCAGTTTTAATTCCTATAATCCCTGTGAAACCATTAGTTAAAAACCACTGTTTTGAACACATCAAAACAGCATAAATAGTAAAAAAGGCACCCAAATTGAAACAGAAGATGTTTAATTATTTGCAGAAATGATCTTATGTGTAAAAAAAAATCCTAAGATTATACACACACATGCACAAACTATTAAATCTAATAAATTCAGCAAGGTTACAGGACACAAAACCAACACAATGAAAATTAGTTGCATTTTTATACACTAGCAATAAACAACCTAAAAAGAAAATTAAGAAAACATTTCTACTTAAAACAACATAAAAAGAAATTTTTTAAAACTCAGGAATAAATTTAACTATTGAGGCAAAACTTACGAATTTCAAACTGCAAACATTACTGAAAAAGATTTACAAATGCATAAACTGAAAGATATCCTGTGTTCACAAATAAAACTATATTCCTTACATGACAATAATACCTAAATCTAATGCAATTTCTATCACAATCCATTCTGCTGACACTCATGGAATCTCAAGGGATATCAAATATCTAAAACAATTGTGGTGTGTAAATGTGTGTGTGTATGTATGTATGTATGTTACTGAGGCCTGAACTCAGCACTCTGGAGATCTCTTACTTCCCAATTTCAAAACTACTACAAAGCTACAGTAATCAAGACAGTATGAAACTAGCAAAAGGATAGGTCTAAAAATAAAATAGCCCAGGAATAAATTCCTATATATACAGTCAATTTTTCAAAAGGGATGCCAACTCCAAAGGTCATGACACACACCAATAATCTCAGCTACTCAAGAGAATGAGGCAGTAGGATCACAAGTTCAAGGCCAATTTGGGCAACATGGTGAGACTCTGTTTCTGGATGGGGGGAGGCTAATGGTGTACCTCAGTGGTAGAATGTCCCTGGGTTCAATCTCAGATACCACTGAAAAACAAAATCACACAAATAAAAAAATAAGTGCCATTCCATTCAATGGGATAAAGGACAGCCTTTTCAACAAATGCTTGGAGGAAACCAAACAAAATCAGGTTGGACCCACACATAACATCAAATATAAACACTTAACTCAAAATGGGTCAAAGACCTAAACTATAAAACCATTAGAAGAAAACACAGAGTGACATCTTCATCGTATTGCTTTTGGCAATAATTTCTTGGATATGTTACCAAAAACAAGAGCAACAACAAAGATAAACTGGAATTCAAAATTTAAAACTTTTGTGCATGAAAGAAACTATCAAGAATAGGACAGAATATTTACAAATAACATATCTAATAAAAGACTAGCATCTACATTATACAAAGAACTTCTACAATCCAACAACAATAACAAAACAAAAAAACTACAATTCAAGAATGAGGAAAGGCTTTGGGGAGATATTTTATCAAAGACTTATGAACTGCTAACATGCACATGAAAATAATATGTTTAGCATCTTTAGTTATCACAGCCATTAGGATGATTATTATTTTTAAAAAGAGAAAGTAAAAATTATTGATGAGCAAGCAGAGAGTTTCTAATGTTTAGGCATTGCTGGCAGGAATAGAAAATAGTATAGCTACTTCAGAAAATGTATAGCAGTTCCTCAAAAAGTTAAACATAGAAGTACCATATGATCCAGAAATTTAGCCCTAGGTATAACCCAAAAGAATTGAAAGCAAGGACTCAATGGGATCCTTGTACACTAATGTTCATAGCAGCATTGTCCACAAAGGGTGTCCATCAACAGATGAATGAATAAACAAACTGTAGGATATACATAGAGTGGAATATTATACAACCACAAAACGGAATAAAGCTCTGATATATGCTGCAGCACGAATGAACCTTGAAAACATTACCCTGGCTGACATAAAACAGACACAGAGGGACAACTGTTGAATGATTCCACTCCTCCAACGTACCTGGAATCGTCAAATTTATAGAAACAAACGAAGTAGAATGGTGGCAGGGGCCACAGAGAAGGGAGACTAGGGAGCTGTTGTTTGATGGGTACAGTTTCTGTTTGGACTGATGAAAAACTTCTAGAAGTGGTAGATTATGGGCTGGTCACACACAATGGGAACATATGTGATGAAACCAAACATTGAAAGGTAGTTAGTATGGTAAAATTTTTGTTATGTGTATTTTACCACAATGAAAAAACAAAAAAGCAAAGTACCCTGGCATGAATAGCTTGATTCTGACTGTACATGAGTCTCTATCACGTAAAGAAACCTATAACGAAAGATGCCTCTTTGCTGACCCAGGGGACAGCTGGAAGCTGCAGAAAGAACACAGGCTGTGCCTGGTCAGCAAAAGGGCTCAAGCTGCTCAGACAGCAAACTCACATTGCAGGTGGATGAGCCATCAAAACTCGGGTAGGAGCCGTCTGGCCAGTCCGTGGGGTCCAGGACAGCTGACTGCCGGTGCTGGGCCTCATATTCCTTGAGCTGCAGCAAAAGAAATGGAAGACTGAAATGGAAGAAGGTCCAAATGCTGCCCACTCACAGAGACAGATTGCTCTGGGCACCTTCGTGCCAGTGTTGATGATGAAGTGCCAGCCAAATACAAGTCTTCCAGAACCAGACAACGATAGTACCCTGCCCCGCGGGTTTTCATCTACATCAAACCAGCAGACACAGGGGACTCTTTGTGGCCACAAAAGATTCCACAAAGAATTCCACAAAGAACCTTGATTTTTTTTCCTCTTCAACATCCCCCAACATCAAAATTCATCTTTTTTCAGTGCAATTATAAATTTCAAACAGAAATTGTCTGTAGCTTCCCCTCTAAATCATTTTCCCACATGTGTAAGTCAAAAATACACACTCCTTTTTTAAGAGGAGACAATGGGGAAAATGCAGACATCCCAGTTACTGGGAGGGGAGACCTGAAACTCACTTGCAAGAAGTCACTTGTTTTTCTCATTCAGGACAGCTTCAAGTTCCTAGTTCAATGTCATCACCTAAGAGATGTTTGAGGGTTTACTGGGAACCCTTGAGCCCAGGGAGGAAATGAGGCAACTGTAATATCATCAGAGATATCTAAAGTTGGGCTTAGAAATTAAGTTTCTGTTTTTGAAAATACAGAAAGGCAAGTGAAATGCTGTAGAAAAGTGAGCATATTTAACTTAGCAAAATCAGATGAAGGATCTTTCAAAATGGCATACTTGAGAAGTTCCAGGTACGGGTGTGTATAACAGAGAAAATGAACTCTGCTTCTTAATACAAGTTGGGACTACATTCAAATTCTATTGAATAGCAGTTTTTAGATATGAATTTAAGACATTGATCAAATCGTGTTCCAAGAGCCCAGCAAAGAAAAACAGAAGGGCCTGACGTGACACCCATGTGCGACTGTCGGGACAGTCTTCAGTAAGGCCACTGCACTGACCAAGATCCCTCCAGAAGAAAGCAACTTCCCCAAGTGCTCTTTTACCTAGGGAATCTTTTCCACACACCTGTGTGGGAAAGTTGAGCAGTACTGTTCATCGGATAAGAGCTCAAATACAGATATCGAACACACCCCAGCTGGGAGTCCAGGGGCCATCATTTAACCCCTCTGTGTTTCAGTTCCTCCTCCGGTAAAAGAGGGTTGATAATAAACTCATCTCCTGGGCTCACTGCTGGACTTAAGCAAGACAGTGCAGCGAAGCTCTCAGCACACTTGTGTCTACGAAACAGGACAGTGTCTAGTTACCAGGACAGCGCTACTGTTAGCACCCTTGTGGCTTCAGAGGAAAGAAAGTTCTGCTTTCCCAGTAACCCCATGTGTTTTCTGTTCAGAACACTAACCATTTTAATCTTCCTCATACATTAGGGATATTTTATTGTCCTAATCTTTATAGTACACTTATGTTATATACCAGCATGTTCTTTCCATCTGGATGTATGATTTTTGAAATGCTACGTTCTCCCTGTGCAATCAGGAACAGCTTGCCAGATAGAAAACGGAATTATTATGGGATTATCAGGGTTTTTCTAGGTCTCTACTCCAATTTTATACTCTACCTTAGCCCCAACTACTAGGATCCACCAGATAAGTTTCATCTTTAATGAAAAAACAGACACAAATCCCTAACTAGGAAGTCATGACTAGACTTAATTTTTTAATCTCCCAAGGACTTTATTTTGACTTTTACACAGATGTGGCCTTGTGAAATCAAATACATACTTATCAAGCAGATAAATATATTCAGTAATTAGAACACATTATATGAGCAGTCTTCAGTGCTAAGGTTTAGATTTTTAAAGAAATGAAATTATATAATGGTCATAGATCACTCCCACTTTTCTTTAGGCAGTGCTTCCAGTAGCAATTTCAAAGGACACAGCTTCCTCTTCTCTGAGTACCACCATCCCAAAACATTAGGTTTTTTTGGTTTTCTTTTAAGATGTGGTCTTGCTCTGTTGACTAGTCTGGCCTCAAACTTGCACTCCTGCCTGCCTCCCTTCCCAAGTGACTAGGATTATAGGCCAGGCCTGACTTAACAGTATTCTTTTATTTTCAAAAAGTAATCTAAGACTTTAAATGTGAGTTTCTTCCCTACTCTCCTATCCTCACACCCCACACAAATTACCCAGGTAAATAACCTCTAGCTTCCAGGTCCTCCCTGGTCTTTCTATACCTTGCACAACTAGTACAAGATTTGAATGCTCTGAACTTACTTGCCAAGAGCTATGTATGCTCTTAAAATGAGTATGCACTTGAAAACTAGGTCATTCAGAACCTATGGATTACCTAGATTGCCCTCAACAGTTTGTTTTGTTTTGTTTTTTGCTTTTTAACTAATGTGCTTTCCTTCCTTAAAGCACAAGTATGAAGTATCTATCAGCTCATCTTGTTGGAGAGGTGGCTGCATTGTGAGGCACTAATACCTGAAAGGTACTAAGGAGGTAGGACCTAGTTCAGGAGAAGTGGTCACAGGGATGTACGTGACCATGGGGACTCTACTTGGTCCTTGGCTTCTTCCTCTCTGGCTGTTCCCCTGCTGTTTGCTTCCTGCTCACCCTGTAGTGTGCAGCTTTGCCACGACATTCTGCTCACCTCAGGCCCACAGCAATGGAACCAGAGGACCCCGACAGAAGAAACCTCTGAGATCATGAACCAAATAAACCATTTCCTCCTTTAAGCTGTGTGTGTCAGGCATTTTGTCCCAGCAATGGGAAAGCAGGCCCATACAGTAACCATCATAAAAATATTAGAAAATGTTTGAAATGCCATTAGATTGGGTGGAACTGTTCCACTAATGAAATGTAAAAATTATAAATTAAGTTGACTCTCTTCATAAATTACATATTCAAAGACAGTACACTGGGAGCAGTTTTGCAAACTCCCATCTCTTCAAATGCTTTCACAGTTTACAATGTTGTTTCACATGTGAGTTCCCAAACGCCTCTTTCTCTTTGATCTTTGCTTGTATCTGAGTAACTGGATTTGCAGGAATGTGAATCATGGCTGTATAATTGACAGTGGGAAAATATCTAGCAATGAGATCAAATCCACACCAATGAAGAGTAGTGGACCGAGCTGTCCTGGTTTGAACACAGACAAAGCTTCCCCAATACAACACTATCTGGCTCCAAATGGCACGTGGGCAAACTTTTCTCCTGACAGTTTTAGTGTAGACATCCATCAGGATTCAAACATAGACTGGCTGACAGTGGAAGGCACGCCCACCCGCTGTCCTGGAGGAATGGTATGCCCTGTCACAATCAGGAGTCTCACCAAGGTCCAGAGGTCTGTCTTATTCAGTGATCAAGCAAATTTAGAGCCCTGAACTGGTCACAAGTTAAAGGAAGCATATCCTCTCTGCAGCCTGCTTCCTATTCTAGATGACATTTTCTTGAAGGATTTTGTCTCTGGCTAAAACGAATTCCATGTAGGCACCAGTAATGGAGGCCGCTCGGAAAAGAGCAATCAAATAAGCATCTCTGCTACTTTGTTACCTGTCAAAGGGGGTCCAGCCTTGTCTGTAGAATGTAATGAAGGGTGGAGAATGTCACTATTTTTTTAATCTCCTGAGTGTCTCCATTCCTGGGTGGCCTTATAGACAATATTCTGGATGTCTCTGTGAGCTGCGTGGCTGCACTGCCAGCCCAGTAGCAGCCAGGTACATGGCTGAGAGTTCCATGCAAATCTGCACTAGCTGCACCACTGCTGCACTGAGAGGACTTCTGATTTCCTTTCCATGGAAACTATGGCTGGCTGTAAAAATTATGAGCCAGAAAGCTTCACATAAATTATTTTCTCCACTTCTTCCCCAAGTTTGAGTATTCTTTTGTTTCTGTTTCAACTACAGAAACAAGCACTGGGTGTGGTAGTGGCACACTTAAAATCCCAACTATTCAAAGGCTGAGACAGGAGGATTCCAAGTTCAAAGGCAGCCTGGCCAACTTGGCAAGACCCTCTCTAAAAGAGGGCCGGTGGGGCGGGTGTACTGGGGACATAACTCTGCAGTAAAACTCTCGCCTAGCATGTGCAAGGTCCTAGGTTCAATCCCTAGTACTGCAAACAGGAAAGACAAGAGAAAAAAAAAATACACTGTCTAAACTAGGCTGTATTAAGGCCCAGAAAATTAAACATTTTTTCTTGCTCCAAAAAAGCTGCCACTCCCCAAACACAGATGTCATGAGATGACTGTGGACATCTTAATTCAGTTCTTAAGTTTTGCTATTAAAAAGCAGTGCAGCAGCATTGCTCCCTGGGAAGTGGTTAACCTCTTGTTCACCATAGAGAAACTAAGCACAGGCCCACTCTTCTCATATGCATTTTCTAGGAATTCAGCAGGACTTTTCCCAAATACCAAGGGGTGGCCAAGTCATGCCCAAGGAATGGAACCAGAGAGAAATGTAAGAGGGGCTTTTTGGCCCACTGGCAGCTGTGCCAAGTATAGGGTATAGGAAGCAGACAGACTGGGCTAAGGATGAAGGTGCAGGTGATCGGCAGTATGGACTTGGGGTTGTCACCTGTCACCTGCTCCACCACCCACCTCAGTACTAACCTGCTTACTTCCGGTAAGCCCAGCAACAACAACCCTGCCTCTGCCACCACCACTATGGTCTCCTCAAGGGCTCTGGAGGCCAAGGTCAGTCAATACGGCTCCTCTGAATCCACAGAGGGAGCGAAGCCACCAAGTGAGTGCCCCACAGCGGTCCCAGCCCCAGCTTTCCTACTAAACCCAGCCTCTTCTCTACTCGAATAATGTTGGTTTTTCTTGTAACATTGTCACAAGAACAAATTTAAAAAATTTTAAAGGTACTGAAGCTTAGAGTTAGGGACACTAACTAAAGGGAGTATGCTTGTCACTGTTTCAAGGATTGAGATCTTTGAGATTCCATCGAATGGCTGCTGTGCTTCGAATATTTACCCCTTCCAACTCATGTTCAAATGTGGCTGCCACTATGGTGGTGTAGGAGATGGAACTTGGAACTTAGGGGATAACAGGGCTCTGTTCCTATGAGTGGAATTCATAAAAGCACCTCCTTTTTCCTCTTGGCCTTTCCATCTTCTACCATGCAAGCATCTAACCTTCCTCCTTTCCAGAAGACATGGTGTGCAAAGTGCCATCTTGGCTGAAGAGCATGGCCTCCCTGGTCACCAGGTCCCAGGTCAGCATTTGGGCTTTGGACTTCTCCAGCCTCCAGAACTGTAAGCCAATATATTCCTCATTTTTATAAATTACCCAGTAGGTAGCATTCTTTTGTAGCAGCATAAAATAAAGAGAAAGGTAAAGTCATAAGTCATTGAGTGGTTGCTTAGTGATCTGCAAGTTTTTCATTAGTTTTTAACCCCATCTATTTACAGCTTGACTGCATGGTACAGAACCCAGTGTTCAAAGTGAAAATCAAGAACCAATCGGTTCACTGTTCAACAATAAGCAGAAAATATCTTAATTACTACCTCACTATCGTAAGTAGTGCTACTATTTATGCTACTCCAGTTTCCTAAAGGTTAATTAGGCATCTTCTAGTGCCTAATTTCGTATTTACTTAGATATGAAAGTAAGTAAAATCTTAACATATACTTGAAGCTTACTTAACCTTGACATTTTAGAATTGATGTTTGTATTTAATTTTAATCACTGTTTTTTTTTTTACCATTGGTTATATTCTTAACTCTTTTCAAATGGCTTGTGAATTTTCCAAGACATTCAGAAGGTGATTTCCCTCATTAAAGTGGTTCACAGATCAAAACTATCTGTCATTAATTCATTCACTCATGTGTTCATTGAATGTGGACATTTTACCTCCCAAGAGGATGCTTGCATCGAGTAAACAGAATGGAATAAATCTTCTACCTGAAAAATTGTGGTACCTCATGACCATCAAAATCCTGTTTGGAGGCTGGGGATGTGGCTGAGTGGCAGAGCACTGGCCTAGCATGCTCAAGACCCTGGGCTCCACTCCCGGCAGAGGTGGGAGGGTTGGGTGGAATGGGCCCATATCCTTTGATAACCTCAAATATTTTTAGATGGAAGGAGGCCAAGTAGTCACAAATGGAAACCAAGTATTTGCTCTCTTACCCTAGCAAGCGCTTCTTCGATGGTGATCATCTTCTCTTTGACCATCATCATTAGCTGAATCCGCTCCTCATCGCTCATCGTTATCTCACTGGCCACATAACCGACATCTTCTCCTGGAGATTGAGGACAGGGAGCAAGAGGAATGAAAACAGGAGAGATGAAAGAGACTCCCTGTTCTAGAAGTCCATTGTCCTAGGTGAGGGAAAGCTGTCTCTCAGGGGCACTGTCTACACTGTACTTTACTAACAGAGCCAGAGGGAGCAGAAACACACACGCTTTTCATGGAGCACTTCTATATGGGAAACAAACTCCAAGGACATGCAGATGTTACAATAGAAGCAAATCCTTTGAAATGACCTGAAACTTTGAGAGGCAGTGTCTAATTTGGGAAGACAGTGGTAGGGAGCTCCTTGTTAGAGAAGAGGCAGGGATCTAATTTAAACACCCAATGAGGCCCAGCAAGGTCACCAAGGCTCCCTTTGCTGAGAATGCTCTGTATCCTTCCATTTGAAATATGAATGAGTGGAATACATATTTGTGAGGAGTGAGAGAAACCTCTCCCATGGGAGAAGAAGGTCACCTCACAGAACCACATCTTGCAGCTTGGTAAAATCTTCCACTCTTACTAAGCTATCTGGCTGTGCTCTTCACAGGATAAGTGCAAATAAATAAAATCACAGATGTGAGGCATGCTGAGCACATCGGAAGAAAGGGACTATAGCTGTTTACATCTGCAAGTATTATCGTCATAAATAGGTCTTGAAAATATGAGAAATTCAACTTCTAACTCCAAACAGAAGGCAGCCAGAACTGCAGAGGCAAACAGCATCTCACGTTAGGGTCTTTCAAAGGCATTTTTCTGTGAAGTGCACAGACTACACTCACCTCTCATACTCTGGGGCCACAGGGACCAGCTGTGCCTTTGGTCAGCAGGTGGGGGAGGATGTCAAGAGAGCGGGCTAACACGAAAATGGACAGAAGCCCACATTCCAGCCCCTCATCTTCTCCTCTGCTGGCCTCTCTAAAACACACTTCCCTTGCTCCTGCTGTTAGCAGAATAAGAGCCATGGCTTGTGCTACTCTTGGTAAAGAGGCACTAAGCAAGGGGGTCTTGCTGCCGACTTGTGGGAGCCCACTGCAGGCAAGGCCAACTCTGAAATTTATGTTCCCCATGTTTACCTATCTCATTTCCGTCTTGGAATCACTCAGTCCAGAAATGCCCCTCCTGTTCCCTCTGACTTTCACCCACTTGCATGGGAAGAAGGACAATGTGGGCCAGGTGAGGAAAAGCCCTGTTGCCTCTGATGGCAAACAGAGTGATGCTGAGCTGGCCGGTTTTTTAATTAACCCACATGAGCTGGTGAATTTGTGGTTTCCTCCTTCCTTTGCTGTCTTCCTGTTTCTTTACTTCTCTCTTTTTTCAGAGTTTGCTTTCTAAACAAGACTTCTAGAATACAAAGTTTATTTTGAATCACAAATGACCCTGGCTGTGCACCCAAGGGAAAAACTGGAGGTGTTTAAGAATAACTCCTTTAAAGTTAGACAATTTAGAAAATGTTTGAGTTTTGTCCAGGAATCCAGGCAGGCAGGAGGGGTATCTGATGTCCACATCCACTTTTCTCTCTGTGTGTAGGAGGATAAGGTAGAACATATGATTTTGTAAAGGCAAACAAGGAGTGTTGTGGGTAAGCAATGAAAATTTTTCATCTATCGATGACCTTATTCCTCCAGACTGGAATCTGGAAGTGGATTTGCTCTGGTTTCCTCTGTGAATACTGGAGAAACATAAATTACATAACCAGCCTCAAAGGGATGACATATTTACTTACTATCTAAACAACAACAAAAGACACAGGCCAGAGTAGGGCAGGCCCTCCCTGCACAAAGCAGCCGGGCAAATTCCCATGATGTCAGACCATTTGAGAGTTTCCAGGGGCAACAACCCCATAACTGTCCCTGCCCCAGAACTGCATCAGAAACTCGGAAGAATGCGAAGGCCCTGCTTGGGAGTGAGGACAGGAGGGTCCAAAACTAACAAACGCTAAGACTGTCTTGGCCCTCGGAGGTTAGAACTTGGCAAGGTTAAGAGTGAAGATGTTTCTGAAGCTGGTGTGCGGAGGAACAACAGATTTGGTCTCTACTGTCAGATCTATGAAAACAAAACCTTGTTAACTTTTACCATTCTATTTTGAGTGAAATAAAAATGACCAGGATGAAGTCTTAGAAGTAATAAAAAGAGGTCAGAAAAGCTGACCATTTTCCAGGCATGTACAATGGGTTCCTCTACTTTCCAACATCCAGTCAGGTCTGTGCACAGGCTTCCTAACATTTTAGAGCTAAAAGGACCTACTGTCCATCGGCTGCATCACAGTACCTTTTGAAGTCTGTCTCATTATTCCTTTTTGGTTCTTTCGAAAGTTCTGCCAGAAATACTTGTTTTTCTTCTTCCAATCTCCTTTCCCTTTAAAAAAAAAACAAGGGGAAGAAAAGGCACAAGCAATAAATTCATTGATAACAAAAGTCGCCTCTTCCTGATAATTGCAAAGCTTCAAAGAACACTGTGATTTCACACCAAAAAAAAAAAAAAAAGTTTTTCTCTTTCAGTTTGTGAAAGACTGGGAAACGCCTATAAAGTTGTTTAAAAGAAATGCAAATTTCCTAGGAGCAAGAAATGGTACAGTAGAATTAAGAAGAGAAATAAAGAAACATCAAAAGGGCAGGCAAAGCATGCATTCTGGGATTCACTTTGATGTTTGTTTAACCAGTATGCCTCATTCTGCCTCGTCTTGTGGTATATTTTGGCCTCTTTGGTCTCAGCCATAATTACTTCCACTATACCACAAATAGAAGACTCTAAGAAGTTCACTTTGTTTTGTTGTTATTCCTGTTGCTGATCTCCCCTTGATTTATTTCTGTTACTCCAGATTTCATGAAGAGGGCAAAATGGCTGGTATTCCCAGTGCCCAGTGTGACCAACAGAACCAATTCCAGGAGCCTAGAGTGGGTGGGGCCAGGGGTTGTTCCTCCCTGTTTCTCTATGTTTATCTATAGCATGAGTGGGCCATGATTCTCTGCTCCCTGGCATTCAGGCTACTTGGTGGCCTACGATAAGCCAGGGCACAGTGACAGGAAGGCTTCAGTCCCATTGTGCTATCTTCCAACTCGACCTCTCTCTAACTGGCCAGACTATTTTTATTGGTACCGGGGATCGAACTCTGGACCTTGTGCTTGTGAGGCAGGTGGCAGAACCACTGAGCTAAACCCCTGGCCCTCTTGCTATTCTGAGTGGCATGTGAGTGAAAACAAATTCCTTGCCACAGGCAGACATTTTTTACATTCGGTAAAGTTGTGATCATCAATAATATGGAACATCGTTAAAAAGCAAAGGGCAAGAAAATCACAGGAATGAGGACAGGTTTGTTCTTTAAAAACAAAAGGCAGTGGTCGCAGCAATGATAACTGCCTCAGTGCTGAGGGAGCACACTCGGAGCAGCAGTTTCGTCACTGCTTGGTGTCTGTCTGGTGGCTCCATGATCACTGGAAACCTGGGCCAGCAAAGTGGCGGCGGCTGTGCAGTCTAGACTGGTGGTGCCAGGCACTGCGGCAGGGAGCAGACGTGTGGGAATGCTGCCTGTGGTGCTCCCAGGCTAGCAAGGGTGTCATTTGTCAAAACAGGATGCCCTCATTTAGGTCCTGACAACCGCGTGCCATGGGAATGAAACCAGAGCCCCTGGCCTGGGATGTCTCTGCATTTAGATCTTGAAGGCAACTTTCAGTGCCTGCTGCCCTTTGGCTAATGTGAGAGCAAGTGTCAGCCAGAAGGGGTTAAAGCAGACTTCTTCTCAAATGATCTGGGAGTAGTTTGTTTCCTTCCTCCCTTCTCCTTCTCCTTCTCTCCCTCCACCCATTCCTCCCCTCCCTCCACTCCTTGTGTGTGTGGTATTAGGGGTTGAACCCAGGATCTCAGGCATGCGACACAAGTGCTCAACCACTGAGCTACACTCTCCAGGCCTTTTTTCTTTCTCCCTTTCCTTCCTTCTTCCTCCTTCCCTCCCTCCTTTTCTCTTTTCTTCCCTTCCTTCCTTCCTTCTTTTGTCCTTCCTGAGTGAGTGATAGGGTCTCACCAAGTTGCCCAGGATGTCCTTGAACTTGCAATCTTTTTGACTTAGCCTCCCAAGTAGCTGGGATTATAAGTGTGTGCCACTACAGCCAGCACAAAACATCACTTTTCAAGAATGGCACCGAAGAGGAAAGCCTCAGCCCTTAGGGATTATTCTCTCACTCAGGAGGCCCAAGAAAGAGCCACAGTGTAGCCTTAATACTCCTCTGTGTTCACAGCTGTGTGTACTTCTTTGACTGTAAACTATTCCATACTCATGTTTTTAAAATGGAGGGGAAAAAACAACAATAGCTACCACTTATTCGGCACATACTAGCATATCTCATTTAAGATTCACTTACATGACATACATTATCACTCCCAGGCAGGAGATGAGAAACAAGGTTTGGAGAGGCAAGTGACTTGCTCGAGGTCACAAGTGAGCTGAGAGAACCAAGACTCATATCCAACCTGATTTGAGTACTTAGGTTCCTCATGGCTATGACCTCCCCGTCTCTGACCCTCACTAAATCACAAGTGGATTTTACAATCAAGGGCATATAAAACATACAAATGCATACTCTTTGATCAAAATATTCCAAGTTGAAGGATCTACCCAAAGGACATTATCAGGGATACAGATTCAAAGGCTTTTACAGTTATATCATCTGTTTGGAAAAAAAATGGAAATGTTCTTTAAAAATAAAAGGTCAATTAAATTATGATACATCCAATATAATACAGACCTAAAACTTGTTTTTGTTTTTTTTTTCCTGGTACCGATGATCGAACTCGGGACCTTACGCTTGCAAGGCAGGTGGTGGAACCACTGAGTTAAATCCCCGGCCCTTAAAACTTGTTTTCTTATATGACAAATATACAATTTTTCAGATCTTTTGCTATAAAGTATATTTAATCATCTGAGGAAAGTCTCATAACATCAATTTTTCAAACTGTGAAACAGTATATAGACTGTGATTCCATTTGTTATTTTAAAACCCTATGCAATGCAGAGAGAGAAAGCTGTGCCTTAAAATATTAACAGGGTTTTTTTTTTTTTTTTTTGGTACCGGAGATCAAACTCGGGTCCTTGTGTTTGCACAGCAGGTGGCGAAACCACTGAGCTAAATCCCCGGCCCAACAGGGTTTTTTTTTAATTCCTGGGTAGAAGGATCCTTGGCAGTTTCTTCAATTTTGTGTGTTTATATTTGCTATAAAGTATGAAAAGAAAACAAATAGTTAAACAAAGAAAATGGTACTGACCTACAGAGCTGTCTTCGGAGTTTGATTTATGAAGAGGAGGCCTAGAAAAGAGAGACAAATCAGATTACCAGGGAGCCTTGCTTTCATGGGAGAACTGGAAATCCTCCTAACCAGCTTGACCCACCATCAATACTACTCAGAGGCGCCAGGGACATTTTTATAGGGTCTTTACCACTGTCCTTTCCTACCTGTTTACTGATTCCTAGCAACAGGACTAAGGTACCATTTGTCAACATTTACTACAGACTCACTCCTGAACTAGACCCATATTAAGTGAAGAGGACAGACTTCACTAGATGACTGCTGAAGTATTCTTCCTCTCTGTGAACTACTAACTACACGTTAAGTTACTACCTTTGAAATCTTTTGTGTAACTGGAAAAGAGAAAGCACATAATAATGAAAATATAAACTCAGCATCACAAAGGCCACTTGGTTCAGCAGTGAATCAAATGATAAGCTGCAAAAAATAAGATGAGTTGGGAGAAGGGTGAGGGATGCATCTAACAGATAAATACCCACACTGGCTGCGGCAGCCAGTACGTAGCTCCTCTAGTTGGCAGCTGCCAACTGGCAAGTACACTATTCATCTTGCCACATCTTCCAAGGTTCAAAGACAAGCCAGAAATCTGCCTTTTTACATGAGAGGTGTACATTTTTAAGTGATGGCAAGGAATCCAGTGCTTTTAGAAATGTGTCCAAGTTAATCAACATGTGTCTGGCACCAGATTTGGCCACACACCTACCCTACACCCTGGGTGCCAGCTTGTAACAGATGATACAGGTAAACATGGGTGTTATGGAAAGTGAACACAACCTAAAACCAGTCAATTAAATATTGCTCCAAAAATTACTTAGACATGTATCAACCTAAAGGAGGCACAGAATGAAAAAAAAGTTAACACTGGTTGTCTCAAAAAAGGAAAAATAGAAATTGGAACAAAATCTTTCACTTTTTGCCAGGGATTTAGCTCAATGGTTCTGCCGCCTGCATCACAAGTGCAAGGTCCTGAGTTCGATCCCCAGTACAAAAAAAAAAAAAATCTTTCACTTTTTTGAGTCTTCAAAGCCCAGAGAGCAAGATCAATACCCTTGGACTTGTCTCCAAGGAAAAGTAGAGAGACAGAACCTGTCTCCGAGCAGAAGTTGTGCACTGAGGGGCTGGCACACTTGAATCTTCACTGTAAGTTTGCCATCAGGAAGGAAGATGAAGAGGTGTCTAACCAAGTACTCCTTGGTTTCCCAATGTTGGAAAGACAGGTTCGGAGGTCAGGACTGAGTCACGCGGGAAAAATTAGAGGACGAGAAACAGAATGTGCAAATCTCCTATCAGTGATCTGGTGCTTACCTTAGAAGGACCTCAAGCATTTAAAATGACAGAGAGAAAAGAGAGGTGCATTTCTTGTGCAAAGCCACCTTTAATGCACTGCCACCTCCAGCAGAGCTGCACTGATGCTGGCTGATGGCCAGGTGCCCAAGCCCTGCAAGCATCATCCTGCTCCAAGTCTGGGAGGAGAGAACTGTTTCTGATCAGCACAAAACGGTGTAAGAGGCACAGTTCTAACTCAGGGAAGGTGGGAGCAAAGAACAGCACAGGAAATAGCTGCTGAGGACAAGAACTAGATTCTAGTTCTTTCCGCTTTCTAACATGCTGCAAATACTTAAGAGGTAGGGAAAACCTACCTTATCATCCTAGGATCTATTCAAAATGTAGCTCCTAGGATCTATTCACTTTCCTCCTATCCATGCAAACATGAAAAGGCCTAAACATGTATCTACTTGAAAGGCTTTAAAATTAGCCATTTAAAATTTTAAATTATTCAGCCAGGGAATACTAAGTATCATAAGTGAGGTACATGGATAAATATGAAAAAATGGGACTCACAGGCTAGGGAGAGGATGGATGTAAACAAAGATTCATAGGAAGGATGAAGAAAGGAGAGAAGATAGGAGGAGGAAAGAAGAGAAGACAACATTCTTGGGGTCACAAGAGAAGTGTCAGCAAAACAAGAAGGCAGGAGAGAGTAAACATTTGGCTAGTGGGCTGGAGATAGAGGCAGGAAATCCTTCAAAGACAAAGAATGCTTAAGCTAAATTTGGATTCTTAAAAAAAAATCCTTGCTGCATTTTGAACTCAAAGTCATGTAATACATATCAGTACACTTTACTTCAACTGGCCACGGCTTAATAAGTGTAACTGACCCCTTAAGGTAGAGGAGCCCCTCATCTATTTTATTCCTGTTCTAAGGACTACAAAGTGTTGATCTAATGGATAAGGACCAAACGCATCACATATCCTCAAGTCTGTATAAAACTGGTTCACTATGTAACTTTAACCATGTACGAACTTTTACTTTTTCTAAAAGAAACATTTTCATGGGAAAATGGCCTGCAAAAGCATTGCTTTCTTTAGTCCTTTGCTGCTTTATAATAACAAATCTTATCAGGTTGTAAGAAATTTTCTCAATCATTTAATATAAATCCCAATTTATAGGGAACCACAGTGTCTAGAAGTTAGGGATACAGCCCATGGTCCCATGGCTACTCGGCAGCCACCTGCCAGCAGGGACTTCATGCAGACAATCTGCTGTAGCCTGTTGTCTTTCCAATATATGCCCTGAATAAAATGCATATAAAATCATCTCAATTGTAACTCTGAAAAAAGTTAAGTGATCTTTTCTGTTCTTCCAACCCAGTTTTTATTGTTTCTGCCAAATGGAAATGTTCAATACCATAAAAATACTTCCGGACTTACACTGCAGAGAAAAGTAAGGCTTCTATTTGTCACAAAATATAGTAATATTTTTCTTTTTGAAATTCTGACTTACAATATTTTTATTATTTTTATTTTCTTTCTTCAAGTTACCACATTTTAAATAATTTCATCCTCAGGTTTGGACATGCCCAAATACCCTGCATCTCCCTCAGCCTGCCAGCAGATGGCACTATCGTCTCTTTAGTCATCTTGCTATAGTGTGTGGAATTGTTTTTAAAATTTTACAGGTTCACAGTTTACACACTGGGCAAAGAATAACAAGCCAATATTTCATAAGTGCAAAAGGCCCCTCAACTCAATTTGCAAAGGAGGAAAATGACACCTATGAACTTGGATGCAGTGAGTTCTCCCTGGAGACAGAAACCAGGCACAAAATATGTTTCCTTTCTCCTTGAGGCCGATTTTAAAATCTGTCCAACAGGAGCTGAAAATAAATGATGTAACCAAATTCCAAATTTGGATGGCAGAAGGTGGAAGGGGTCATTTACTGATCTCCTGGTGGAGAAAATTAATGCTCAGGAGTCAGCTCCAAAGAGGCCTCCTCTCTGTCCTTCCAGCCAGAAGCTTCAGCCTGAAACCAACAGGGGCTGGGTCATGGCCTCTCTGGATCCATCACTTTCATTGTCAAAGGAGTAAAAAGGATGAGAACTTCGGTAGGGTGTTGATTACCACGAAGCATTAATTAACATCCTGTTGCACTTTGAGAATCTATTTAAGCATTTGATAATGATTAAGTATTGTATTTAAATTCTCAGAACTAAGGCTTAGTAAATGCCTTTCCATCAATAACTACTATTATTAGATCCCAAAACTGCTGAAGTATGAACATATTTTCTCAAAATCAGTATATTACTTGAGCTGTTTCTGAAGGCTAAATTCACTTTTAAAAAATACCTAAATTAAGGAATGGTTAATTAGATCCAAAAATCAATCTAAGAAACCGCAGTCTCAGAATTAACTACTGACTTTCATCCAACCTAAATCTGTAACAAGTTCTTTGTTAAATTGCTTTGTTTGTTTGTTTTATTCGTTCTCTGTTCACCTCAGGCATCTTCTGAGGCGCTGAGAGCAGAGCAGTAAATAAGACAGATAAAACTCTGGTGCGGCCATGGATAGAGACAGGAGGGGCCTGCAGAGCCAAGAAGTGGGGAAAGGGGAGATGAGGCGGACAGGGAGGGTCTCTGAAGCAGAGGCCTAAAGGAGGAGCTGCTGTGACATTCACTCCCCAAAATGGGGAAGGAGAGGGGGAACATCCAGGGTGGAAGCCAAGAGGTCTGTGTGGGATACATGAAGTTAGGGTGCTTTATAAATCTCCCATGGAGCCCTAAAAGAAGAGTGGCCTGTGTGAGCCTAGAGCTGGAGAACCAAGGTGAGAATCTAACTCACTTGCGTATTTTAAAGCAGTGAGACCAACTGAACACATATTAGAGGCAATACGGAAATTGAGTCCTGGGGCAGTCTGGGACCGACTTTTAGGGTCAGAAAGAGAAGGTGAGGCCAGGCAATGATTCTTGGGATGGGTATTCTGCAGGAATAAGAAAATCCAGGGGAGAGCTCTTTTCCCTTTGCTGGGTGGAATAATGCTCACCTTGATTTTATAAAAATTAAATTGCTGCCCCAAACTCACCAATAGGCTATATCCAGGTTGCCCCCCCTTCTTTTTTACTGAGCCTATTGCTTTATAGCAGAGATCCTGGAACAAACATATGGTAGGAGGAACAAAAAGGTCAAAAGGCAACCTTCACACTTGCATAGTATAGAATTCCACCTCCAAACTCACACTCTCATGGACCCTCTCGTCACAGAACAGGATTGTGACAGGGACAGGGAGTGAGGTCACTGACCCAGACAGGGCATAACTGCCTTATCTCTGTCTCATAACCCAATGTTTCCCCCTCGTGACCGCGTTTTTACTCGTTTACATAACAGACTTTCACCTTGTACACCTTCACATGCTGCCCATTTTTTGTTATCTAAGGGACAGAATGAAGGGGTACCCATTTGTATACTGGCCCCACTCTTGTGTAGATTACTGGGTTGACACTTAAAACTAGAAGATAAAACATTATCAACAGCAAATCTGAACATGGTGTTTGGATTTATAAGCACCAAGTATTTCAAGAAGACTTTTCAGGAGCTAGTTACTACTACATGATCCTCTGGCCTGCTTGTAGAACAAAGGAGGCCAAATAAAATGGCTCAAACTCAGTTTTCTTTCTTCTTGAGTCTGGTTGCAGGCAAATAATAAGATCCATCCAGGTAAGGA